GAGGGGGAGGGGCGAGGGGGGTGGGGTCCGGGAAGGGGAGGAGGGGAGGGTGTTTGGGGCTAGGAATAGGGTTAGGGTTAGGGTTAGGGTTGGGCTTGGGTTTGGGCTTGGGGGAGGGGGCGGTGGTGGGATCGGGCGGGGTTTTGGCAGAGGAGGCATTGGGTTTGGGTTCCCAGCGGGACTTGCGGTGGGAGGAGTGGAGAGAGGCCTTGGGATGGTTGTTGCTGCTGCTGCTGCCGCCGGCCATCCTGCGTTCAGGCTGCACTGCTTTCTTCTGCTCTATTACTTCCCTTCCTCCCCTTTACAACCCCACTTTCAGGACTTTCCCATTTTTTTTATAATTAGTTTTTATTTTTTATTTTTCTTACAATATTAATATTATTCATGTGTCTTTTATAATTTATATGTATATCTATATCTATTAAAAAGAAATATTAAGAATATGTAATAATTTTTAACTTTTATTTTTTAAGTGAATTCTTATATTCTTTAAATATAAAAAAATATATATTTTCTATGAATAACAACACGCAATCTTATAATATTATATTTGTTTATAGTATACAAATATGTTTATTATAATAATATAATAAAAATTAAAATTTGTAATAAATTATATATAAATATATTATAGCTAGTTATAGAAATTATATTCAAAATAAATACATAAAAGTATTTTTAAATATATAAATTATATTTTAAATTTATGATAAATAATTTATTTTAATATTTGTGTTTAATATTTAGGAGTTCATTTTATCTTATAACTATCCTTTAATAAATTATAATTTATATTTTGTTTTTTTATTTTGTTTAATAATCGTCCATATTTTTAAGGTTTAAATACGTTTTTAATTCCTTAAATTTAGAGTAAATTTATTTTTGATCCTTTAAATTTAAAATTGTTGTTATTAATCTCTATGATTTTCAAAAAATAACATTTGAAAATGACAGATTGAGACAGTTATGCAGTATCAATTGAGTTTAATATTATATTTTTATTAATAGAAACATTAGCATGTAAATTTTATACTATAATATTTGATGAATTTCTTAACAAAATTTTAGTATAAAGACTAAAACAATTTTTTTTGGAACTACATGACTAAAAATAATAGTTTCAAATTTGAGAAACTAAAAATAAAATTATTTTAAATTTAAGAGATTAAAAACATATTTAAATTCATTTTTAATAATTGTAATAACCCAAACACACTAGAATGAGATAAATTCATATATTTATACAAATGTGAGATTGTACAATTAAGAAAGACTTAAAATAATTAATTTGTATTACTTATACTAATAAGATATATTTACTTTTCAGTGACTCATCACATAAGAACTTCACAATTAAGTATGCTTGATTTGAAACGATTTAGGAATGAGTGACATTCTGAAAGTTTTCTCAAAAAGTGTGCAAATGAGAACAAAGTTCGTTGTAAAGTCTATGTTGGTTTGTGGAAAAAGTCTTTGATCCTAAGACGGTCAGGCATCTTAGAAAGGACTACCCACAGAGAGTCCTAACTGGTGAAGAGTTATAATTAACGAACAGTTGTGTGAAGTGTCATCATATAAAATGTCGTTGTGAAGTGAAGTTATTAAAACATTAAATTTGAAGGATGTTACAATAATCACTCACTATTATGTAATTTTTATTACTTATTATTTACACCACAATCATGTCATACAACCATATAAACACCAAAGCATATGAATAACATCAAATCACAACGCATCATATGCATACACCTCAACTGATGTATCATTACACATTCACTTACAAAAATCTCCTACAACAAGATGAGTAGTTTAAGCGGTTTGGTCCTATTGAACCAACTCGACCTTTTTACACTTGTTAGATCAACAACCAATTTGGGATATCAATCCCTAATAACATGATTTTTTGGATATCGTTACTTAAATTAAGAATTCGTATTTGTGTAAAGGTGTAACAGGTTGGATATGAGTCTATCACGATATTAACTTGCAACAGTAAGTAACCTATCGAATTAACCCACTAATTATCCTTTAAATATTATGCCCCTCTGATATTTAGTTAAAGGACTAAGTCTCTGACTTCATATTTTACTTAGTTGGTCATGTTATACACGTACACCTCGACCTTTCTCGCATGTGGATCAACATTGATCTATTGCAGGTGATATACCTCGACCTAGCCCATAGTCACATTAAATAAGGTCTTAAATAAGATTCAAAAATCCATTCCAACATGTAACACCTACTTAAGGATGGTTTCTCAATAACTAGGCTCATAGAACACCACATTGATATCCCACACAATGAAATATCTAAATTTAAAAAATAACTTCTCCTATAGTCCTAAGTCAAACAACATACCTAAATGTTTATAACACTTTGAGTATCAACACTTCAACAACATGCATCTATATGCCTTACCCCTAGGTCAATGAATATAGATTTAACAACATAAGTAAACTTATAGCATCCAAATGCATCTCAACAAATTCAACCATACAATCATCTATCTATTTATCTATCTATCTATCTATCTATCTATCTATATATCTATCTATCTATCTATCTATCTATCTATCTATCTATC